ACAAACAATATTCCGCTCGTGCCTTTCACTCCTATCTGAAATAATTACAAAAGGCACCGAAGTTTGAAACTCTACGGTATTATCTTGCCGCGTTTCAATTACAGTTCCGAAGCCATAGTGAATAGGGCCTGTCAGATAACCAAGTGTGACTGAAATCAATTATCGATTTAATGAATAAACAAACGAATGAATAATTTCTATTCTCCTTCCCCTCTCTTCTCTTCTTTCCCATCCACCACATTTTATTTTGCCTTCTATCTCCCCTCTCCCTACCTCCGCCTTGCTCTTCTCCGTTCTCTCGTCCATCTTCTTCCTTCTCTTCTCCATGTTTGACCATTGAGACAGAGCAACCCTCTATCCACCTTGTTTAACTGTGACCCGCTTTCTTCCCTTTCATAGCTTTCTGATAAAAAATGTAAACGTTATTGCAATCTTGAAACAACAAATTCCCTTCTATAATTGGGAAAAGAAAATATATCAGCTTTTGTTTTTTTCTGTTGTCTTCTCTTCTTTGATTTTGTGATGATAATAACAAAATTAATAGAAACTCAATATCCTTCTAGTTACCTCATCGGAAGTTTTTCTTAGTATTGTTAGTGTTATAATTATTATAATTATCATATCATCATTATTATAATTATCATTTTCACTATCATTATTATTATTATTAAAAACTATCATTATTGCTGTTGCTGTTGTTATCGTTATTATCATCATTATGATCATTATCGTTATTGCCATCTTTATCATCATTATTACTATTATTATTTATATTACTATCATTACTATCAATACCACTACTATTATTAAAATCAGCACTATTCTTATTGTTATTATTATCATTAGTGTTATCATTATTGCTACTACTATTGTTATTACTATATCATACTTTTATATTATTATTGTTTTTTATTTATATTCATTGTTTATTATTATTATTAAAATTATTATTACTACTATTATTATCATTATTATTATTAAAATTATTATCATTATTATTATTATTATTATTATTATTATTATTATTATTATCATCATTATTATTATTATTATTATCATTATTATTATTATTATTATTATTATCATTATTTCTATCATTATTATTATTTTTATGATCATTATTATTATTATTGTTATCATTATAATTATTATTATCCTTATTATTATCGTTATCATTATCATTATCATTATCATCATTACTGTTATTGTTAGGTTAGGTTAGGTTATTGTTATTGTTATTATTATCATCATTATTATCATCATCATTATCATCATCATTAGTTATTATAGTTTTATCATCATCATTAAGACGGTTTTTTTTCTTTTATAAGACTGCAAACAATTAGAATAAATGTCAAATGTAAATAATAGCTTTAATCTATAAAGTAACAAAAATACTAACCATAATATCTTGAACATGATATCGTGAACCATAATTGTATCCCCTCTCACTTTTTTCCCCCCTTACAGGCTCGTTTTCTATTTCAAAGAAAATCTGCTTTATAGAAAACGCAGAAGAACGCACCAAGAATACGGGTAACCAAAGCATTATTCCCAGCCAACAATTTCCATTTCTAAATAGGAATCATAAATAACTACAATTTCACAGTGAATGATAGACGCAATTTTTCTCTCTATTCAGTTTTGAATATACTTCCCTTTCAGTTATTTTGTTCATTTCTCCCAGCGATCAGTGTTCGTAAAAGAATCGACATTATCCATTTCTAAAGATAAATAGTAAAAAAATATATATCAAGGAACAGTGTCGTACATAACGAAAGAAAAACACAATGAAAGGAAAGAAAGCTACTGCCTGCAATAAATTACAGGATCGGTGTATATATATCATAGGGTACAGAGAAATATACGAAAATATGATCTCAAACTTACCTGTACCAGCAGATTCCAGCACTAATGACACCAAACACAGCTACAGCCGTGCATCCAGCTACGATTGCTGTCAAAGAAAAGGTTTTATTTGGTGTGAATGGGGTTTCAGCAATACACATCAATACACAGCAATATATCACATACACATATATATTAACTATAGCCCTTACAATTACCACTGGATACATTATTGTCATATTGGGTAATATGAAACATACGAATGCGAATGAATAATCCCATAATGTATAAAATGTATTTTACGTTTTGATATAAGTTCTTCATCAGATTCGTGTAATCCTGATGAGGATGTGATGGATTCATAATTTACACATCTTGTACTGTAAAATTATTTGTGTTCATACCTGTGAATTCAGCGTCATATATCCACATTATCTCGACTCTCGAGCTTAAATGGCGTTGGACTATGGTCATAATTATGAATGTGGACGATTTTCTTTTCAACATGATATGTGTTGGCTCTAAACAAGACAATGGAACCATAAAAATGGATACATAAATATCCCTTTTCTGGAATCTCTGTTTTGCTTATGTGTTTAATGGAGATGCTGGTTCAGATATGACTACACTTTTCTGAAGCTTCATATTCAGG